CCTGGGGAAAACGCCTTTCCCGTTATGCCCCACCATGACAACTTCACTTATGTGAGTAAATCAAATCAAAATCAAATCAAACAGCCTGCCTGAGGAGGTCAGGAGGCCTCTCAGAGTACTATCATTCTGCAAAATGTGCAAGACAAGAACAGTTCCGAATCTCACCTTCATTTCATAGACTTTCAGGTCTATCAGTAGCTACTAGCCATGGTGACAAGAGGGGAACCTCCAGAGGCACTAAAGCTCTGAATCCAAGGGCCAGGAGGCAACATCAGGGAAAGGCCTGGGCCTCTAAACTGTGTTGCTGGCCATCTACACGAACTGGTTGGCCACTGTGGGAAACAGAATGCTGGACTAGATGGACCACTGGTCTTCTTATGTTTAAATAGGAAGACATCTGCAGTGCACTGCACTGACTATTTTTTGTACAATTATTGTAGGTATAATCTGGCTTTTAAGACATTGGCATCTCCTGTAAAAAGGGTCATGTTGCGGGTGATGTGAAAGGCCTTTGCCTGAGACCCTGGAGAGCCACTGGTAGCTAGATCAGGCAGTATTGACCCTGACAGACCGGTGGTTGATTTTGGGTTACCAACCTCCAGGTGTAAACTGGAGAGTTCCTGGTATTACAACTGATCTCCAGTCAACAGAGATCAGTTCCCCTGGAGAAACTGGCTGCTTTGGAGGGTGGGTTGTATGGCACTGTACCCTGCTGAGGTCCCTCCCTTCCCCAAACCCCACCCTTCCCGGGCTCCTTCCCCCAAATTTCCAGGTATTTCCCAACCCAGAGCTGGCAACTTTAGGTTGACTCTGTATAAGGTAGTATCATGCATGTAAAACTGGATAATCCCAAATCTCCAGGTTATCCCAATGAAACCAAGACCAACCTAGATTCATAAGAATCTAAACCGTCTCAGGGTTGTTTTTCTCTTTTGCTCTAAAAATCTTTGCTTGGTGGTCAACCAGACGGAAAGCTCGAAATACATTAGACAAGAAGCCCATTGAACCAAAGCTATCATTGTTCCAAGAAGCCTCTCATTTTGTGGGCCCAACATGGATCCAAAACATCTTGATCTGCAACATTCAGTCCAAGATGGAGACACGGGATACTTGGACTAGATTGGCCATTGCTTAAATTAAAAAATCTTCTGATTATTAAAGGCTTCCATACCGAGGACAGAAGACAGATCTCGGCTTAAGTGGTCAACATTCCCTTGCCTGCCAAAAAAAATAAACCATAGCAGCCTGCTGGACCCGGGTGGATTACCGTAAAGATACTAACCCAGCAGAGCTCTTGGGAGTTTAAGAACAGACTCATCCCATTTTTGTTTAATCCCACACGCCCACTACCATGCACTCTGAAGCCACTTAACCTGTCAGGATCGATTGCTTGTAATTAAACAGACAGACCTCTAAGGAAGAAATGGTTTCCCCCCCCCCCTTTTTTCAGCACAACTCCACTAATGGGGACACTGAGCTCCTATTTCTGCAAATGGCATATTCCACCAAATAACGACCCACAGATTTTTACATAAAACTAATCCTTCGTTCATTTGAACCGCTATTTTCCTACACAGCATCAACAGACTGGATAAAGCACAAGCTGGGCCTTCGAAAATTGTGCCAAGATGTTCAGCTAACTTTATAGTGTATCTCTACCAGAGGAGTTCCAACTGCTAGCCTAGAGTTATTAGGTTTCCTAAAGAAATAAAGTCATTTTTCTAACAGACATACTCTGCATAACCGCATACTATCCCCTCCAAGAAACCCACCTTTTCTTTGCCATACTAATTCACTCACTCCTCAGGATTCTTGTGACTTCAACACCTTTGGAGGAAGAGTTAAATGAGTCACTGTCCAACTGAAAGCTTATTCCTAGAGCGTCTTTTCCCAGATCCACGCTGTGACAGAGCAGGAAGAGACAGCAGCAAAACAAAGTGGGACTGTCCCACAGTAATGGAGGGCAAAGGGGAAGGAAAGAGGCCAGCCCCGCCAAAAACTGAGGAGGGGACCGTGTTGGGTGTCAGAGACACAAAAACAGTGGAAGCAAATCAAGATGTGATACTGGTGCTGTTTTCTGTAACAGAATGTTCAGCACCAAAGGCAAGAGAGCCTCTGAGCATATGCAGAATCCCTTTCCCAAAGGGAAAAAATTAAAGATATATGTATTAAGCACCACCTGCTTCTGACTATGTCATTCCTTTGTGAAGGGAAATGCTTCTTCACTGCCAGAGGATGTAGTGATGGCCACAGGAATAAATAGCTTTAAAAGGGGATTAGACAGATTCATGGAAGATGTCTATCAATGGCTACTAGCCATGGTGACTGAGGGGAACCTCTACATTCAGAGGCACTAAACCTCAAAATCCAGAGCCAGGAGGCAACATCAGGGGAAGGCCTCGGCCTCTATGCCCTGTTGTTGGACCTCCAGAGGAACTGGCTGGCCACTGTGTGAGACAGGATGCTGGACTAGATGGACCACTGGTCTGATCCAGCAGGGCTCTTCGTATGTTCTTATGAAGGCCTCGGCCTCTATGCCCTGTTGTTGGCCCTCCAGAGGACCTGGTTGGCCACTGTGTGAGACAGGATGCTGGAAAAATGGACCACTGGTCTGATCCAGCAGGGCTCTTCTTATGTCCTTATATTCTTCTTCACATGCTCAGTGACAGTTCAGGAGTCCTGCCTTCCTTGAGAGGGCAACTTTGGCCCCAATCATGCTAGATGAAAGCCAACATGGTGGAAAGCACTATAGGCAAGCCACCTGTTCCTTTTTTTGGAAAGAACTCTTCCTGGTTTATTTATGTCAACCTTGGGACCCCACTGCATTTAACTCAAGGAAAGGAAGAGATTCCCCATAACCACAAAAAGCAACTTTAAACTAACTGCAAAAATAGTGTAAAGTAAAGAGGGAATGGTTTGACACACAGAAGATGTGACACACAGAAGACATCCGCCTCCTATGGTAACAGGGCAGTCCTGATGCTGAAGCAGCCCCAGCAGGCACCCATTCAACCGACAAGGAGAAGGTCAGGCTTTGGTGTGCCCGTTCTGCCAACACACACCCTGATGCCAGTTACCCACCTCTATCGTGCTCTTACTAAGAGCTGCCACTCACTACCACAACACACACATATATATACATTCACCTTTACAGCACACAAACATGCCCTGCGTTGCAAATGAAGTGCCACAACATTTGACATCTTATGCCACTATGAATGCAGTGCCTATGCCATGCAACACCATAGTCTGCAACCATGCATGGGGACAACATGCACACTCATGGACGCCCGCCACAAGAATGACTCATCAACATTCTTTTCCTCTCTTGGCTTTGGATCCATCTGCTCCAGCAGCTGACCAAGAAGATCAAAAAACCAGGAAAACAGGGGGGGTGGATGCAACAGCTACAGGAGCAGCACAGGGCCAGGAGGTTGCCAGAACTGTTTTTATCTCGTACCTCTGAACCATCTTAAAAACTTGGCTTGCAGGCTCAAGAATTCGGACCATCCTTAATATGCCCCCTGATCACCAGATGTTTTGACTTGCCGCGAACACATATAAATAAACCCTGAATTGGCCATTCCAGAAGCCCGGCTAAGAAGCAGATATTAAAACCTAGATTCATGGCTTGGTGGTGGCGCATCTGCTTGGCATGCAGACAGGCTCCAGGTTCAATCCCTGGCATCTACTGGAGATCAGGGAGTAGGTGATGTGAAAGGCCTTTGCTTGAGACCCTGGAGAGCTGCCGCCAGACAGAGTAGACCAATGGTCTGATTCAAGATAAGACAAGTTTTGTATATTTATAGTCAGGATATTCTCCTTTGATTAGCTTTTAGAGCAGGGGTCCCCAACCTTTTTGAGCCTGCAGGCAAATTTGGGCTGCGACCACACACGCTAAATAATCCACTTTCCAACCAGCCACAAAACGATCACCACAGCTTAACTTCAGTCAACAATGTTCCCTCTAAGCTGTGGAGTCTTCTGAGCAAATTTTTTACTTTGTGAGCTACTGGCATTAAAGTTGTGAGCCATCTTTCCTGAGCCAAGACAAAAATGTGTGAGCTGGAAACTAAAAAAAACTATGAGCTAGCTCACACTAACTCAGCTTAGAGGGAACACGAGTCACACAGTGCAGATCCTTGCGCTGTGGTTGCAGCTTTGTCAAAGCAACATTTTTTTAAAAAATCTGCACAACCAATCATATCCCCAATAGTCAATCCTTGTTGGACAAAAGCTCTACCTGTCTCTGCCCACTTCCTAAAATTACCAGAAAAGGTGGTATTGGGGCAGGCACTATGTCAGCCAGTCCTTTTTCTCCACAACCCCAGATCTCTAGATAGATGCATACAATGTTCCCTCTAAGCTGTAAAGTCCTGTGAGCAAAAATTCTACTTTGTGAGCTACTGGCATTAAAGTTGTGAGCAAGCAACTTGGCTACTGCATAAATTAGTGTGTTCTGGAGCCCTCCTTCCTGAGCCAAGACAAAAATCTGTGAGCCGGAGGCTAAACAACTGTGAGCTAGCTCACACTAACTCAGCATAGAGGGAACACTGGATACAAACAGAACGTTTGCGAACGTCTCCAGCCGAACACAAAAAGAGGCGAAGCGGCAAGGAGCTGCGGGAAACATCTGGAGCCAGCAGCGGCGACTTGTTTGCACTGCAGGGGTTAGCAACCGGCTATTTTCCCCCCCGGGTCGTTCTGATTCTTGGCGAGGTTGGAACCGGGCCGCTGAGCCTCCTTCCCGCAATGACGCCACAGCCCCAACAACATAAACAAAGGCGTCGCAGGCTTCTCCTCCAAACAGAAGCGCACATGGGGAAGGAGGGGAGCAAAAATATGGCGTTTGGGGTTTTTTTGCAACCGCGACCGTCACTCCCCGGACGGAGACGACCCACCCTCCAAAAACAACCCCCCCCCCAAAAAAACACCCCTCTCCTTTGCAACACCTCGCGGCGCTTGCAAATGCCCAGCGGAGCGGCCGGCCAGCTCTTTACCTGTTCCGCTCGGGGAGATAGCTGCTCTCGTTCGCATTCAGGAACCTCGTCCACCCGTCCGCCGTCTTCACCCAGTTCTGCCCGGGGGATCGCCAGTCCTGCCCGAGAAACGGCATCGTGGCCGGCCCAGAAAATGCGGAGCGGGGGACGACGACGACAGCAAAGCAGATTGCAATTCCTCTTTCTCCAAAAACGAGGCGTCTGCAGGCGAGCTTGCTTCACCCCGAGATGTCTATAGATACTCTTATTATCAATATTATTTATTCTCCCCTCCTAATCGCTCCCACTCCGGCTTCTTCCTCCCCCTTCGGATCGCTTTCTCTGCCTTCGCCCGGGCAGCCGCCGTATTTATCTGCGAGCCTCTGGTGGCTCTTTGTTGCCGGAAGAGCTTTATCAGCGAGCCGCTGGTGGCTCTTTGTTGCCGGAAGAGCCGCTCCGGCTCCGCCTCTGAGTCAGGGCGGGGGACACGTGGCTTTGTTTATTGCCGCTCCCGAAGAGCCGAGCGGGGAGAGGGGAGAGATCGCTCCGGGCCCGTCTTCGCCTGCGGTTGCACAATCCCGGGAAGTGGAAACTTTTGCCCTGGCAGCGGGGTCTTGCTCAGCTGCCCGGCCTCGGTATATTTATAGGGCCCCGAAGTTCAAAACAAAGCGGAGAGAGTCGGAGGCTACCGCCCGCGATCACAGGCGGTTAGTCAATAATCCGTTGTAAGTGAGGGTTGCCGGCCTCCAGATGGGGCCTGGAGATCTTCCGGAATGACAATGCATTTACAGGTGACGGAGAAGAACAGGTTCCCCTGGAGAAGATGGCAACTTTGGAAGGTGGACGCTATTTGGACCCCGTACCCCACCCTCCCCAGGCTTCAGGAATTTCCAAACAGAGCTGGCAACCCTGGGACTGGTGGTCATTACAAAACGGGTGCTGCCTGTTGTTTATGGGATGGAGCGAGCGAGGAGTCTTGAGGTCACCCAGATTTAGCTCACTGGGTGACCTTCAGGCCTAGGATAAAGGAGTTTGCTTGTGCAATCCGAGTCTTGTGGCCACTACGAAATGAACAAGATTTTATTCCAGGATTAAGCTTTTGTGGGCCACTTTTTCAGATAGCAGGGTTGCGTTCTGAATATGTGATCGATTTATGTCAGAAATACTGGGGAGGGGGAGGAAGCCAAACAAACAGAGCAGGTTTGGTATAGTGGTTCGGAGTGGGGATTTTAATCTGGGAGAACCGGGTTTGATTCCCCACTTCTCCACATGCAGCTGCTGGTGTGGCCTTAGGTCAGTCATAAGTTCTTTCAGAGCTGTTCTCTCATGGGCAGTTCTGGAAAGAGCTCTCTCAGCCCCACCTACCTCACAGGGTGTCTGTTGCGGGGAGGGGAAGGGAAAGGAGATTGTAAACCGCTCTGAGACTCCTTTGGGTAGTGAAGGGTGGGGTATAAATCCAATCTCTTCTTCTTCTTCTTCCTCCTCCTCCTCCCCCCCAGGTTCAGGGGGGTAGCCGTGTTGGTCTGAAGTACATAAACAAAGTTTGACTCTAGTGGCAGCTTTAGGACAACTAAGTTTTGTTTTGGGTATAAGCTTTCATGTGCATGCACCCGTCTTCTGATACATTGAAACAGAAGTCACCAACCATTACATATAGGGAGAGGGTGTTGCTAGGAAGGGCTGATTAAGGCAATTGGTAAGGCCTGTGAAAGGCAGCAAATTATTATACAGTACAATAAAAGAGTTTACAGACAGACACGAGAACTGAATGACATTAGCATGTGGGTAAGAAACCAATATCTCTTGTTAAGCCCTGGGGGTTCCATTGTCCTGAGTGTTGTAATAACCTGTAACTCAGCAATCTCCCCTTCTTGTATGTTTCTGAAATTACATTGCAATAAAACACCTACTTTGGGTGACCTTAAGCCTAGCACAAAGGAGTTTGCTTATGCAGTCAGAGTCTTATGGCCACTTTGGCTGATTCTGCATTGGCTTCTCCCACTGTTGTTTTACGAAACCCACGTTGGAACAGAAATTCCCCTCTGCATTGCATGCTGCTTTCACGTCCTTTGATCATGGGATTTTATGGTAGCCTCCACACCCCATGCCACTTTCACTTCCTTTGATCATTGGATTTTATGGTACCTTCTGCATAGATTTATGGCCGTTTTTATGGTTGTTCAAGGGTGACTTTGCAGTCAGTACGGCATTGCCCCGAGGGATTTGGATGTGGTTTTGAGCTGCACTTTTTCCACCCAGTTGAGAAAATGTGGAGCAAATGCTAGATGCAGAATCACCCACTGAAACGAATAAGATTTTATTCCCGTATAACCTCTTGCAGGCCCCTTTTTCAGATGCCAGGGGCGCATCCTGAATATGTGATCAATTTATGTAAGAGATTGAGGGGGGAGCCAAATAAATACCAGGGTGAGTACCCAGGGGTCATTTCGTAGAAAAAGAGCTAGGGGAACTCATTAGCATAACTCGTTAGCATATGCCACCCCCCCTGACATCAGGGGCCCGGCGGTGGACCTGCAAGGCCGGCGGAAGTGCGAGGAAGCCCCGCCAAGGCCCTCCCTGGCCCCAGGCAGGCAGGGGTGGGGAGAGGCGGGGAGGAAGCAACTTCCCCTCCCTCTTCTCCTGCCTCCTCCTGGCTGAATAAGGGCTGGAAGCGGGGCGGCCAGAAGCAGGGGGCGGGGCTTCATCGTGTGCCCCGCCCCCTGCACCTCACCCGGGGGGACTGCGTTCCCCCGCGTTCCCCCCCCCGAAATGACCTCTGTGAGTACCTCCTACACGAATTGTCTGTGTAGTGTAGGGTTGTGAACTCTGGGGAAACTCTTGGAAATTTGGGGGAGGAGCTGGGGGTTTGGAGAGGGGAGGGTCTCAGCAGGGTATAATGCTAGAGCGTTTCCCCTCCAAAGCAGCCACTTTCTCCAGGGAAACCAGTAAGGTTGCCAACCTCCAGTTGGTCCCTAAGAACATAAGAACATAAGAGATGCCAATGTTGGATCAGGCCAAAGGCCCATCCAGTCCAACACTCTGTATCCCACAGTGGCCAGAAACAGTGGTCCCTGGAGATCTCCCACTATTACAGCTGATTTCCATGTGATTAAGAACAGTTCCCCTGGAGAAAATGGCTGCTTTGGAGGGTGGGTACAAAATATATGCAGCAGTCCATCCATTGTCAACAGCACCACATACTTTTAAATGGCCCCGTTCCCCACTACGTACAGAGAAGCAGTGACCTGATCCTCCCCTGAAAACTGCTTTCTAGTATGTTGTGGGGAAACCTAGCCAAGTAAATCTAGATGTGCCATTTCTAATGGTTGCACTGTGCACACAGGTATCCATGCCAAGGGGGTTAAAGTGCTCATCTGCCCTCACCCCTCAAAGGTATAAGAAGAAGCTGCTGTCGACTTGGAACTTACTCACGGCGACCCCTTCCACGTGGCATTCGAGGCATGAGATGACCGGGAGGTGATTTGTCTTTGCCTTCCTCTGCATAAACCCCCCAGTCTTCCTTGGAGGTCTCCCACCCAAGTCCTGACCATGGCTGGTCCTCCTTAACTCCCAGGCCCTGACAACCTCAGGCCAAACGAGGCCAATTGGGCTGCTCATAAACTAAAAAGAAGAGCAGGCCATTGAGTCAGAAGAACCAACTCATGGCAACCCCTTTCACAAGGGAGGAGTTTTGCCATCGCCTTCCTCTGCACAGTAACCCCAGCCTTCCTTGGGGGTCTCCCATCCAAGTACTAACTAAGCTTCCAAGTTCTGACATGCCCAGATTAAGCCGGGCTATTCAGGCTGCTTATATAAATTTATAAACAAGTCAGTGAATGGAGTGAAGTATTCTTGGGCAATGGTTTCGAGAGGGCTCTCTGGGGAACCCTGAGATTTCCTCAGCAAGATCAGTAGGGATAGCCATGCAGCCCAGAAAGGCAATTGATCAACTGCTACGGATCTTCCCTTGCAATGTGCAAAGCAGGGCTCTTTTTGTAGAAAAAGCCCAGCAGGAACTCATTAGCATAATAGGCCACACCCCACAGCAAACCTCATTAGCATATTAGGCCACACCCCTGACAGCACCACTCATTAGCACATTAGGCCACCCCCCCATGTTACCAGAAGTGTGGTCATCCAGCCACACCCACCTTTCCCTTCTTATTCTGTTTACCTTGTTTGTTGTCAAAACCCAGGGCCTTTTTTGTAGCAGGAACTCCTTTGCATGTTAGGCCACACACCCCTAATGTAGCCAATCCTAATGAGTTTCTGCTATTGGGTGTGGCCTATTATGCTAATGAGTTCCTGCTGGGCGTGGCCAACTCAGGAGCCAGCCGGAACTCCGTTCCTGTGCGTTCCTGCTCAAAAATAGCCCTGAAGGAGAGCATTCATATACATGCTCAGCTCAAGTAGGGTGGCATGAACCCAGCAGTCCTTACTTGCTTCCTGAGTGTGCCTAGAACAGGGCCAATTCCAGGTTTTGGGGGCCCTGGGCAGAGAGCACAGGGCCCTCTTTTTGCCCACTTCTCAGCCTTCCTTCTCCCCCCCCCCAATGTGGCCCCCACCTGCTTGTGCATCCTTCCTCTGCCCAGTTGCAAGCTCTCTCACCACCAGCAGTCGCAGCTGCCCACACGGCCTGTACATCTCTTCCCTAATGGTGCTGGGCACGGCTAAGAATGCCACGGTCATGGCCACAAGGCACGCTGATGCTTTGTGAACCACCCATGTGGCTTTCTCCGGCATAGCTAGGCAGCATATGCCGCTGGGAGCAGAGGTGACAAAGCACTTACAAGAAGTCGGTGGAAGGGCGTGAGGGCAGGCATCCGAGGAAGCAGAAGCCGTGGAACTTGGCAGCTGCACCACCTCAGGGCATGCGCTGACGCCACCCCTGGCCCAGAATCCTCTGTGATGCCCAGGGATTCTGTGGCACACATCTGAGTTCCTTGGGAGGCAAATCAATATGGGATGTAGGAGTTTCTAAATGCTGTTATTTTGTTATTTCTATATCTTGGAACATGGAGATCCATTTTTTATTTTTCAGTCTGTTCAGTGGGTTGATTTTTCTCTCTTTCAGGGACTGTCGAACATTTATTTAAGAGCAATATATGGTTAAATTCCCTATCAGACTATCAAACGTTTAGACTTGAGTTCTGTCAGTCAAATGTCTTGCTTTTGTTTGACTGATCGAGTCAGAATTCGTTCAGAGCTGGGCAGGGCTATTTTGGGGCAGGAACGCACAGGAACGGAGTTCCGGCTGGCTCCCAAGTTGGCCACGCCCAGCAGGAGCTTATTAGCATAATAGGCCACACCCAACAGCAGAAACTC